AAAATGAACATCAGAATAGACTCTGAAACTTGCTCTAGAACACAGAACAGCAAAAGGAAAAGGAAAAAATTATGAAATTAAAAAGCTGAGCAAAAGATATCAAAATGTCTCGAGAAGGCAAAGTATTAAAAATAAAAGTTCAAAGAGCTAATGTTAGAAGGCCAGAGAGAAAATACAGTCCACATTTCGTAAGCTGAAAGAACTGAAGAAAAAACTCAAGCCTCAAGTTGTATTGCTAAATGACTTTTTGCAAAAGAAGAAAAAATGGAATGAATAGGAAATATAAGCTATCAAAGGAAGATGGAAGTATACAGAGTAAATTCACAAAAAAGAATTGATCAATGTTTAACCATTTCAAGAAGTAGCATATGACCAAGAATCAATGATATCGAAGGAAGAAGCCCAAACTATAGTGAAAGCATTGATTAAAAACAAGGCTCAAAAACCTGATAGAATACCAATAAGAATGTATCGACAAATGGATGCAACACTGAAGTGCTCATTTATCTAAGCCAAGAGATTTGGAAAATAACTAGTTGGCCAACTAGCAGAAAGAGATCCATCGTTGTGCCCATTTCAGAGAATGCTGCTCTAATAGAATGTGGAAATTACTAAACAATGTTACTATTAACACACACAATTAAATTTTAGCTGAAAATGTGGCAACGAAGGCAGATGGTGCCTGGCTATTAAAAGATATAGCATCTGGGGTCTTACTTAAAGGCTTGAGGCTAAACAAATGGCCATCTAGCAGTGAAGCAACAAGCCCACATGGAAGAAGCACACCAGCCAGTGCGTTAACAGGAACCAAAAGACCCAAAAGAAAACAAACAAACAAAAACATATTGTTGAGAATGAGGGGGGTTGGAGCAGAGATCAAAAACCCATCTGTAGATAATACGACATCCCCTCACAGAAGAGTCACAAGGAAGGGATGAGTCAACCAGGGTTCAGTATAGCACCAATGAAACACACAATATTCCTCTGGTTCCTTGAGGCTTCCTCACCCCTACTATCATGACCCCAGTCCTACCTTTCAGTTCTGGCTAGGCCAGAGCATGTACACTAATACAGATAAGAGCTCACGATATATGGAATATAGGTCGGATAAGTCCCTTTGGTACAGAATTGGGAGTAGCAATACCAGAACGGTCAGGGAAGGTTGGGGAAAGAGGGTGGGTGGGGGAACTGATCTCAATGATCAATGCATAATTCCCCTCCAGGGGGATTAACAACAGCAACATTTGTGAAGAGTGATAGCAGTTGGTGTCAGATATGTAAACAATAATAATTTATAATTTATCAAGGAATCACAAGGGAGGTGGGGAGGGGAAAAAGAGGAGCTGAGACCAAGGGCTTATATAGAAAGTAAATGTCTAGAAAATGATGATGGCAACATATGTGCAAATATGCTTGATAAATTGATGCATGGATGGTTATAAGAGCTGTAAGAGCCCCCAATAAAATGATTTAATAAAAAATAAAATAAAACCAGGAAAGGCATGCATCATAGTTGCATCTTTTCACCATATTTATTCAATCTGTATGCAGAGCAAATAATCAGAGAAGTTGAACTACATGCAGAAGAATACAGATTGGAGGAAGATTCATTAACAACCTGTGTGATATGCAGATGACCAAGCTTTACTTGCTGAAAGTGAAGAGGATGTGATAATGGTCAAAGGCTATAGACTTCAGTATGGATTACACCTCAAAATATAGAAAGAAACAATTCTCACAACCAGATCAATAAGCCACATCATGATAAATGGAGCAAGGATTGAAATCAAGAATTTCCTTTTACTTGGATCTCTACAATCAATGTCCATGGAAGCAACGATCAATAAATCAAATAATGTATTGCACTGAGCAAATCTGCGGCAAAATATGTCTTTAAAGTGTTTAAAACAAAGATATTACTTTGAAATGTAAGATGTGTCTGATTTAAGTCATGACATTTTCAATAACCTCATATACATATGCAAGCTGAATCATGAATAAAAAATGCCTAAGTGTTGACTCAGTGTTTTCATACAGAAGATTAAATACAGCCATACTGGTTTTGTTGCATTTCACTTTATTGAACTTCACAGATACTGTTTATTTTATATTAAAGGTTTGTGGCAACCTTACACAGAGTAAATTCATTGGTACCATTTTTACATCAGCATGTTCTCACTTCATGTATTCACGTCACAGTTTGGTAATTCTCACAATATTTCAGACTTTTTCATAATGCCATTGCATATGTAGTATAATATAGTATAAACAATTTTACATATACTGGGAAACGAAAAGGCATGTGACTCATTATTTTATAGTATAGTGGTCTGTCATCAAATGTGCAGTATTTCTGAAGAATGCCTGTATATCATGGACTGCCCAGAACAAATCTGTCTTGGAAGAAATATAGTCGGAATGTTCCTTAGAAGTGAGGATGGTAAAATTTCATCTCATGTACTTTGGACACATTATCAAGCGGGACCAGCCCCTGGAGAAGGACCTCATGCTTGGTAAGCAAAGGATGAGGAAGAAAGAGGAAGGCCATCAAGGAGATGGACTGACGGACGCAGTGGCTACAACAATGCACTCAAACATAGGAATGATTGTGAGGATGGCGCAAGACCAGGCAGTTTCTTTCAGTGACGTACAATGTTGCTGAGTCAGATCTGATTTGATAGCACCTAACCACAAGAACAATGAGAATTTGTCTTTTCTCTCTCTCTCTGCATAAAGTCATAATTATGAAAGTCCTATGCATCCTATTCCCTGCCTCCACTTCCTTTGCAGACCAGAATACTTCAGTAAACTATGTAACTATCTACTTCAAATTGACATGAATGGCCTGAGAGCACATGAGTTCAAGACCAGAGTTTGTGGGTGTGTGTGTGTGTGTGTGTGTGTGTGTGTGTGTGTGTGTAAGTCAGTTCATGACCTAACTCTGTGCTGACGTCATTATCTCACATATGGTAATAAACACTTCTATGGGCCCATATCTAAAGACAGGGATTGGACCAAACTTTTGTCACTGACACAAGTACACAATTTAAAAGACAGCAAATGAGATTTCCTGTCATCTCTTGAGACTCTCCATCTCCTCCGCAGTCAAAACGGAAAATGTCATTCCCTTGCCCCTTCCACCTCTGCTTAAGAAAATGATAACAGTGGTGGTTTTGATAAGAGGTTAAAATGCAACTAATTCAAACTGCCAATTGCAAGGAATGATTTATTCTGCATTCTAAATGTTTAATGAGTGTTGGCAATTTGCTTCTAGTAAGTTGCTTTTACCAAGGAGTCCCAGCTGGAAAGAATGCCTTACCTAGCTATACCGGAGGCTCGGGATAGCAGCACGCACAGCAGCAGCACTAACACCCAGAGCAGGGCCAAGATGAACACACCTGCACCCACTCCAAGCACAGTGCCAGCCATTCTGTGGGAAAAAGGATATGTTAGCACCACAGTGCAGGCTCTGGTCTACCACAGAGGCAGTGTAATCCTCTGTAATCCAGTTATTGCTTGCCTTCTGCAGGCTACTGGGTTTTCTTGAAACAGTCAGACATATGCAAAATGCCCACCTGACCTAATTGTGGAGTTTTTGGTGACTGATGTGTTAGGGGGATTAATTAATGCAGGGCACTAATCCTAAAAATTGTCCAATCCCAGAGTTCCTTCGTAATCAAAACACCTTGTCGCCCCCCGCCACCAACCGCAAAGCCACATATACACACATCTTGTTGCAGAGATGCCAGACTCAGTGATCTACTAGACTCCATTGATTTTCCAAGGCTCTCCTACCCTCCTTTTAAGATTGTGATTTAGGTTAAAGTTTACAGAACAGATCTTCAGTTTTATATCCAACAATTTATACGGGTTTTGTTTCAGCTCATCCATTCCAAACCCCTCAATGCACATTACTTCTCCCACTTCCTCCCATGTTTCCTGTTTCCATTCCTTCTTCTTTCCTAGCTTTTTTTTTTTT